AGATTGTCAGGCGAAGATATCCCAATTATCGCGCAGGAACGCGCGTAAGGCGGTGTCTACCGCCGGATCCAGCTGTGCTCCGATGGACATTGTTTTATTGGGGTCCTTCGGGTGCACTCGAAATTTACTATTTCATCTATTGGCTTGAAAGAGGTGGATTTAGGTCTCTTATCGAGAATCACATCATCCTTGTCCATCGTGGATCGTAGGGTGGTTAGTTCTTTAGCTGCTAAGGCCTTGGATAGTGCCTCAAGGGCCAAGGATGCGATTTTGTTTTCGGCACGGAGTGCTTTATCCGGGTCACTCGAAATTATAATTATTCCATTGGGCCCTGACATTTTAAGCTTCGTGTACCCGTAATGGGGTATAGCTTGAAGTGTGAGAAAGCATTCCCCCTAAGGATGGCGTGATATCCGTTGTTGAAGGGGACCACATGGAAGAGCAACTCTTTGGACCTGTAATTTTCAGGCGTGCCGAATACTATGTCCAATTTAATTCTCCCAGAGCATCGTGCTTCTCGACTGGGAATGATGCCTCGAAAGGTGGTGCTGCTTTGCTCGATGCGTGTTCTATCAACCTGCATTTTTGTTGGGGAACATAGTAATTCGAAAAATTTCCTACGATCACACAAGATCTATCTAGGAGAAGCATAGCATTGAGACGGGAGAGTGTGTCCATGCACCCTCGTAGACTGAAAGCATAAGCGTTTAGTAACGTGGTTGATGTAGTCAAACGTCTTCACGATCCAACCGATCCAAGTACCGAGCATACGGCACCTCCGTGTTCAACACATGTTCAGCACGATAACGTCCCTTGAGCTCTTGATCCAGTAGAGGGTCGAGGGAGAGTTCCGTCAGCACGACGGCATGGTGATGGTGTTGATGACGTTACCGGCGCAAGGCTTCACCTAAGCACTATGATGATATGACCGAGGTGTTAAACTATGAAGGGGGGAACCACACACGGCTAAGAGATTGTTTGTTGTGCTTTGGGGTGCCCCCTACCCCCGTATATAAAGGAGGAAGGGAGGAAGGAGGCGGCCGGCCTAGAGGGGCGCGCCAAAGGGGGGAGTCCTACTAGGACTCCGAGTCCTAGTAGGAGTCCCCTTTCCTTTTCGGAGTAGGAGAAAGGGGAAGGGAAAGAGAGAGAGAGAGAGAGAGAGAGAGAGAGAAGGAAAGGGGGGCCGCGCCCCCTCCCCTAGTCCAATTCTGTTTGTCTAGGGGGGCGTGTGATGAAGCCATGTACCTGGGGTAGGGTCATGGACCTGTCCAAAATACCCTCCCCAAGGACATCTCTAGAAGAAACTACCTTTCAGTCGACCTGGAAGGATTCCACTCGACGGACTCGAAGACAGTCGACCATGAAGACTCACTCGACCACCAGAAATACCTAAGGTCACTCTACATCCAAACGGTCCGTTATTAAGTAGTATTTATGGCCATGATATCACTTTATGTAAGGCGTTACCAGTAACGTCTGGCCTTTATGTACATTGAACTCTCTGCTACGTGGGTTGGCTGGGGTCCTGGCGCACTCTATATAAGCCACCCCCTCCACAGGCAGAAGGGTTCGCACCCCTGTAACTCTCACACATATAATCCAGTCGACCGCCTCCGGGCACCGAGACGTAGGGCTGTTACTTCCTCCGAGAAGGGCCTGAACTCGTAAAACTCTTGTGTGCACAACTACTCCATAGCTAGGATCTTGCCTCTCCTTAGTACCCCCCTACATTACTGTCAGACTTAGAACCACGACAGTTGGCACCCACCGTGGGGCAGGTGTCTTAGCGACTTATTGGAGAATTTGCAATTTTTCCGATTCCCGTCATCATGGTTTCAGGCGGAGTTTTGGTTGAGGGCCGCGAGATCCGTCTCGGCGCACTCATGTTCGTCGCCAGCGACTCTGCCTAGCTACAGGAGGCTCCACTCGATGTCGACGCGCTCCCAGTCCGCGGGGCTACGCACTTTCGAGCGTGCGTCCGCGGTGTCCTTCCGCGGCAACCGTCGACCCAGTATCGGCCGGTTTTCATGTCGTCCTCCCTCTCGGCTTCCCGCCGGCGCAAGCGCTCCGGTCGGTCGAGGCTTCAGTGGTGGGTGAGGCACGCGGTGGCTCGCCAGTCGACCACCGCCCAAGTCGCGGCAATCGAGCCCGATGAATCTCTCTACGGCATGTTCGACCTGTCGAGTGGCTCCGCAGAGACTACATCCGAGTGCGACAAGAGTGATCCAGCGGCGGAGGTCCTGATGGTCAATGGACCGCATGTTCCCCGCGGTTTTCCCGGTGCTGAGGGAGGCAACGGCGGAGGCGATCCGTCGCACGGCCATGAGGAATACCTCCCCGAGCCCCTCAATTCGCAGCAGAGAGAAGAGCTTTGCCGCCGGAACATGGATGCGCTTCAGACTCCGATCGTTGGAGAAACCCCTGAGGCTCGCGCCTTAGAGGACGCGCGCTTGGCCAACCTGGCCGAGTGCACTCAACTGGAGAACCTTCAGCAGGCACCCGACGAGCGCGCACGGCAACAGATTCCAGACTCCAGTCGACGCCAGCTCTTTCCACCTCCGACTCAGGTATATCAAACGCTGATTCAGAATTTAGCAGCTGCAGCCCGTATAGCAGAATCGATTCAGCCTTCCCAGTCAGAAGCTGGCAGAGGCTTGATGCAGATCAGAGATTTGCTCCGGGCAGTAGGAGATCAGAATTCAGCTGTATCGCAGTCGCGGAACAGGATTCACAGCAGATCCGTGGCAGCGAATACGGTCCAGTCGGCTCATAGCCCCAGATCGCCCCCGAGGCATGAAGGGCGTGGTGACCGGCACGATCAGTACAGGAACTATGAGCAGTATGATCACCGATTTGATCGCAATGATCGACGTCGAGTGCCCACTCCTCCCCCAAGGGGTGGATCCTATGTGCCTCGACAACGGGATGATAGACGCCAGCACAGCGGCGGACGAAGGATCCTGGTCGACCCCAGAGAACCAGGCTTTGATGCGAGATCCATCATCGTTCAAGGTCTGGTCGACTGGAACAGAGCCCACAGAGAGGGTAATGACAGAGATGTACCCACCAGCAACCGAGTGCATGTCTCCGGACCAGAGTGTTTCAGCAGAGCCATCAGAGCCGCGGTGATTCCTCCCAACTTCAGGTTGGCGACTGGAGTCAGCAAGTTCAACGGTGAGTCTAAGCCCGATACTTGGCTTGAGGACTACCGAGTGGCTGTTCAGATCGGCGGCAGAAATGACAAGGTGGCCATGAAGCATCTGCCTCTTATGTTGGAAGGGTCAGCCAGAGCATGGCTGAATCAGTTGACACCCAGCAGCATTTACACGTGGGAAGACCTCTCCCGAGTGTTTGTCAGAATGTTCGAAGGAACATGCAAGCGACCAGCAGGACTGACAGAGCTGCAATCTTGTGTGCAGAAGTCGAATGAGACTTTGAGGGATTACATCCAGAGATGGATCACACTGCATCACACAGTAGAGAATGTATCTAATCACCAGGCAGTCTGCGCCTTCAAGGAGGGCGTAAAGTATAGAGAGCTAAGCCTGAAATTCGGTAGAACCGGAGACATGTCTCTGAGTCGAATGATGGAAATAGCCACCAAATATGCCAATGGTGAGGAAGAGGATCGGCTCCGGAGCGGCAAGCATAAGTCAGTCACCCAGGAAACCGAAGGAGGGAACTCTAGTCGGAAGCAAAAAAGGAAAGTCAAGCCAGCTGCTCCTGGAGAAGCCCTGGCCGTGACTCAAGGAAAGTTCAAAGGAAAGCCCAAGGGGCCTTGGAACCCCAAAAAAGTAAAGGATAAAGAAGGAAATGACGTGATGGATGTACCGTGTCACATCCACACGAAGAAAGATGAAGAGGGTAACTTCATTTACCCGAAGCATACCACTCGGTAGTGTCGACTCCTGATACAACAGTTCCAAGGGAAGCAACACAAGGATAAGGAAAAAGAGTCGGACAAAGTCGAGTACAAGGAGAACAGTGACGAAGAATATCCGCAGGTCAATTCCACCCTGATGATTTTTGCTGACGTTGAGAGCAAAAACCGACTGAAAGTCATAAACCGAGAGGTGAATATGGCTGCTCCAGCAACACCCAATTATCTGAAGTGGTCTCAAACCGCCATCACATTCGACCAGTCTGATCACCCGATGCACATAGCCACCCCTGGGAGGCAAGCTCTGGTGGTCGACCCAGTCGTTGAGGGCACTCGACTGACTAAAGTGTTGATGGATGGTGACAGTAGTTTGAATATACTGTACAGGGCCGGCCCTGTGTTTCGGGAGGCCCTAGGCGAACTCGACCACATGGGCCCCTACGTCCTAAGTCCTAAGACAATATATATGTATGCGTATGTTATATATATAAGTTATTAAAAGTAATTTTCAATCACACATCTTTAGTTTAAAATACGACTATAATAATTCAAATGACTCCATCAAGAACAATAATAACCAAATTCAAATCGACTCCATAAAAAACAATGGTACTAAAAAGATCGCAAAATGAAACTAACATGACATGATTACCTCAAATAAGAACGAAATTAGACTGACTCCATCGACAACAATAATACTTCAGTGCTTCAAAAAAAGTTTCTTCGGGCATTTCTTGATGTGAAGTTATTAAGGGCACAATCAAGATCAACATTGTCCAAGATATCCTTCTCAATACAGCACATAGCCAGGCCATTCAATCTATCTTGCAACATAGTTGACCTCAAATAATTTTTCAGTAGTTTCAGTTTAGAGAAACTTCTTTCAGCTGAGGCTACAGTCACAGGCACTGTTAAGAGGATCCGATAGGCAACAGAGACATTTGGATAGCAATCTACAGCCATAACAAACTGGAGAATCTCAAGCGCTGACATCAAACCATCTGGCAAAGTTACCTGCAACACTTTTAACTCTGAGACAAAATCATGAAGATCAACATCAGATGATTTATCATCAGAAAAAGCTTTTGCAAAAGTAGTGCAACATTCCTGTAGTTTGCTATCATCCAAGGACTTCAGATTTTTTTGAATTGAATAAGAAACCAAACACCCTTTCAAATTTCTTCAACTGATCAAAGCGACTGGTCAATGAAAGAATTGCATTGTCAACGATGACTAGAAAGTAATTAACTCTGAAGGATTCCATAGCTAACAATTGTATTTCTTCTTCTTGATCATTGATTTCATCATCATGCCTCTTTCTTTTCCATTGACATTTTGAAGGAAATTCTGGCTCTATGTCCATATCAGATGCAATGGCTTTTGCTATCTCAATACTAGCTTGAAAGCCTTCATCTCTATACTTCTTAAAATATAATATGACCCCGTCAATGTGTTTTATAGTAGCATCAATGCACACCATCTTTTCCTGCAACTTTTGGCTCACCATATTTACAGAGAACAAAACATCATGCCAGATAACCATGCCAACTAAAGTTTCAAAATTCTCAAGTGCACTGACCAAAGATTGAGCATCACTTACAGCTGCTGGGTCATTAGTAGAAGTCTCCTCCAATTCCTTCAAAGCTGAAATTACATGGATAGTTTGGTACCTGATAGGCTGCACACTCTTTATTCGACTCTCCCAACGAGTACTGGACAAAGGCTTGAGAGTTAGTTTTGTTCCTTTTGGAAGATTGTCAAGTAAAATCTTCCACCTTTTAGTAGAATGTGAAAACAACACGTATATCCGTTGTATAATACCAAAGAATGTAATAGCCTGTTTGCAAGATTTTGCCATATCACAAAGAGTGAGATTCAAACTATGACATGCACATGGCATATACAATGCTTTGGGGGTTTCTTTAAGGAAGCGACTCTGGACACCTTGGTATTGTCCTTTCATGTTGGAACCATTGTCATAACCTTGACCTCTCACATCAGCAGCATTCAAATCAAAAGAACTCAATGTATCCATCAATACCTTCAAAAGCCCCAACCCCGATGTGTCCTCAACCTTTAGGAACTCTAGGAAAAACTCCTCCACTCTCGGAAGGTTGCTTGACATATTGACACAATGCACAATGAGAGTCATTTGTTCTTCATGGCTCACATCCGGGGTACAATCTAGAATAACTGAAAAATACTTGGCATCTTTGATGATCTTTAAAATTACATTTCTCACGGCATCAGCAAGGACTAAGATCAACTCGTTCTGGATTTTGTGGCCAAGATAGTGATGATGGATTTCACTATTTTGAATACGCCGGATGTGTTCTTGCATAACAGGATCAAATTCAGCAATCATTTCAATCGTGCCCAAAAAATTACCATTATTATCTTGATACAACTTCTCATTTGATCCACGAAAAGCCAAAGTATGTTTTGCAAGAAACTTCACAGCTGAAACTATTCTTACCAGAACTTGTCTCCAATGCTCCTTCTCCTTTGCAATCCCCCTTTGCATATCATCATCAATTGTCCGATTTTTGCTTAGTCTCAACCTAACTTCATTCCATGTATTCATGTTTGTTAAATGGTCAACACTGTTCTCATGATCTTTGAGACGCGCACTCAAACGCTTCCAGTCATTCAATCCATCAGATGCCAGCATAGACTTGCTCAGTTTTGATTTGAACAACTTGCAACAAAAACAATATACTTTGTTTGCACCTTTGTGGTAAACCAACCACTTTCGGTTAACAAACTCACCATTACTTAACTTCCTGGAGTAAAAAGCATATGAAAAGTGTCTACCAATGGTGTCCTTCTCGAACTCCAGATCCAGTACTCTAATAGGTCCCTTCTCAATTAAAATATCCCTTTTGCTATTGTCAAGAACTTCCCATGTTCTTGGATCAAAAATAAGTGAAAGGGAATCTTCCTGTTCATCATTAGAGGAAGGCTGCAAATTTTCCTCCTCCATTATACTGTCAGCATCAACTTCAAAATTTATTTTCTCCCCTGTGCGCGCGCCATCTTCATTCACCTCAACATCTGGATTTTCATGCTCAGAAGTAGTTTCTTGCCCTTCTTCTTCACTGACATCAACATTGCTTGAAGATGTAAAGAAGTTATTCAAAGAACCCTTCAGTGCTAGAATTTTCAGATCAGTTGCTTTCTTTTTCCTCCTTTTTTCAGCACCCGACAATTGCTTCTTCTTAGGTAACATGGCAGGCTAATGTCCTAAAATCATGAAGAAAAGATCAAAAGAGCATATAAAGAATTAGGAATTTATAGATCGGATGATTGGAACCCTAGACATGTTATATACAATGACAAAAATTTGATAGATTGGATTAGAATACATACATACTAAATAAAGAATAAATAAACTAATGAGATAGTGATTAGTGAGATTGTCAAATTCAGGTTTGGGGATGGACAGGAAACATGGATGCGTACTCGTATACGTATTGCCGTATTGCCGCGGTGCCGGATGCCGGATGGCCGGGCTGCCGCCTACCTACCGGACTGCTGTGTGGCGGCAACGGCGACGCGGCAAGGGCCAAGGGGCAAGGCGCCGAGCGACGAGCGAGAAGGCCGACGGCGACGGGCGTGCGAGGGCGACGAGGAAAGGTAAAAACGACCTTGAGTCACGGCGTATCCATCAGCGATCGCTATTCGCTAGGTAGCTAGCTATATCTGGGCCTCCTAGCGACCTAGCCCATCCTATTTCTTTTCTTTAATTCTTTTGTAATTTTTTTTGCTTTTTGCTGGGCTATAGTATATGTATATACTCCATCATGCCCCCCCCCCCTCGCCAGGGCCCTGGGCCATCGCCCCGTCACCCATGCCCCAGGGTCGGCCCTGATACTTTATGCTGAGACACTGAAAGGGATGGGCATTCCAATGTCCAGACTCAGCACAAGCAACATGCGTTTCTATGGAGTCATTCCTGGCAAGAAGGTCGCGTCACTCGGCCAGATTGCTCTTGATGTGGTTTTTGGTGATTCCAAGAACTTCCGCAAAGAGAAGCTGACATTTGAGGTTGTAGATTTCCAGAGTGCCTACCATGCTATTTTGGGCAGGCCAGCTTATGCACGTTTTATGGCCCGACCATGTTACGTGTACCTCAAATTAAAGATGCCTGGCCCTAAAGGCGTGATCACTGTCACTGGTAATCGCAAGAAGGCAGAAGAGTGCTTCCAGAAAGGCTCAAAGATCGCCGATGCTCAGATGGTGGCAGAAGAGTGGCAGGAACACCAGAGGAATGCAGACCCGAGTGATTTGTTGCGAGCCAAAAGGCCTGCTACGGAATCAGCGTTTCAGTCGTCCGGTGAGACAAAACCAGTTCACATCCACCCGACCGACCCCAACGCTGCTCCGACTCATATCTCCACAACACTCGACCCCAAATAGGAAGCGCTCATCCAGTTCCTCCGTGAGAACTGGGACATCTTTGCATGGAAACCTTCTGACATGCCGGGTGTACCCAGGGGATTGGCTGAGCATCGTCTGCGAGTCGATTCAAAGGCAAAACCTGTCAAGGAACATCTGCGACGGTCCGCCGTCCGGAAAAGGAAGGCTATTGGCGAAGAAGTGGCTCGGCTCTTAGCAGCAGAGTTCATCCGAGAGATTTACCACTCCGAGTGGCTCGCCAATGTCGTCATGGTCCCCAAAAAGGACAATTCACTTCGCATGTGCATTGATTTTAAACATATCAATCGGGCCTGCCCGAAAGATCATTTTCCTCTTCCCCGCATCGACCAAATAGTCAACTCGACTGCGGGATGTGAGCGACTGTCTTTCTTAGACGCTTATTCCGGGTACCATCAGATCCGTCTGTTTGGGGCCGATGAGATCAAAACAGCTTTCATCACCCCATTCGGGTGCTTCTGTTATGTCACCATGCCATTCGGCCTCAAGAATGCCGGAGCCACGTTCACGAGGATGATTCAGAAGTGTTTGCTCACTCAAATCAATCGGAATGTGGAAGCGTACATGGATGACATTGTGGTCAAGTCACGGAAAGGTTCCGACCTGCTGACTGACCTCGCTGAAACATTTGCCAACCTCAGGAGGTATGATATCAAGATTAACCCATCCAAGTGCACATTTGGAGTTCCTGGTGGAAAGTTACTCGGTTTTCTCGTTTCCGAACGAGGAATCGATGCAAATCCAGAGAAAGTGGGCACTATACTCCGAATGAAACGACCTGTGCGTGTGCACGATGTTCAGAAGCTTACTGGTTGCTTGGCCGCTTTAAGTCGATTCATCTCTCGTCTCGGTGAGAAGGCATTGCCTCTTTACCGACTGATGAAGAAGTGAGACAAGTTCGAGTGGACTCCTGAAGCTGACGCAGTGTTTGCAGAGTGAAAAACCCTGCTTTCCACCCAGCCGGTGCTCGCTGCCCCGATCAGCAAAGAGCCTTTGTTGCTTTACATTGCAGCCACAGGACAAGTTGTCAGTACTGTACTTATGGTCGAGCGGGAAGAAGAAGGGAAAGCCTTCAAAGTTCAGCGCCCAGTATATTACATTTTCAAAGTCCTGACCGCATCAAAGCAACTATACCCTCATTATCAGAAGCTTGTATATGGGATTTATATGACCACGAAGAAAGTTGCTCACTACTTCTCTGACCATATTGTCACAGTCGTCAGCGACGCCCCCTTGTCAGAGATTCTGCACAACAGAGATGCAACTGCTCGAGTGGCAAAATGGGCGATTGAACTCCTTCCCCTTGATATCAGATTTGAGGCAAAGAAAGCTATCAAGTCCCAAGCAATAGCAGATTTCCTCGCCGAGTGGACTGAACAGCAGTTACCGACTCAAGTTCACTCGGAGCACTGGACTATGTTCTTTGATGGCTCTAAAATGCTGAATGGTTCCGGTGCCGGGGTAGTGTTGGTTTCCCCCCGAGGAGATAAGCTCAGATATGTACTCCAGATTCACTTTGACTCCTCCAACAACGAAGCAGAATACGAAGCACTTTTGTATGGGTTGCGTATGGCCATTTCACTCGGCATCCGTCGCCTCATGGTCTACGGTGACTCGGATTTATTGGTTAACCAAGTGATGAAGGAGTGGGACGTCAGAAGCCCAGCTATGACTGGTTACTGCAACGCAGTAAGAAAGCTGGAGAAGAAATTTGAGGGATTAGAGCTCCATCACGTCCCCCGACTGAAAAATCAAGCAGCCGATGACTTGGCGAAGATAGGTTCCAAAAGAGAAGCCATCCCGAGTGGCGTGTTTTTGGAGCATGTTCACACGCCGTCGGTTCAAGAAGATCCTTTCACTGAAGAAGCCCCGCAGCCAAAAAGCGCCACAGATCCGACTAAAGTCGAGGTCCCAGCTGTGGTCGACTTAATCATGGAAGTTCTGGTTATCACTCCCGACTGGACAGTGCCCTACATCGCGTATATTCTAAGAAAAGAGCTCCCAGAGAATGAAGAAGAGGCTCGAGAGGTCGTCCGTCGATCCAAAGCCTTTACTGTCATGAGGGGACAGTTGTATAGAGAAAGTGTGACTGGAGTCAGCCAGAAATGCATAATACCGGAAGAGGGTCGAATGATTCTCAACGACATCCACTCGGGGACCTGTGGCCATCATGTGTCCTCTCGGACCATTGTGGCTAAAGCATACCGAGCGGGTTTTTACTGGCCCAGAGCAAATGAAATGGCGAAAGAGATAGTCGACAAGTGTGAAGGATGTCAGTTCTACTCCAACATGTCACACAAACCCTCCTCAGCCTTGAAGACCATCCCGATCGTCTGGCCTTTCGCTGTTTGGGGTTTAGATATGGTTGGACCGCTGAGAACTGGCAGGAGCGGCTTCACCCATGTACTGGTGGCAGTCGACAAGTTCACCAAGTGGATCGAGGCCAAGCCCATTAAAAATCTTGATGCTGGCACTGCCATCAGCTTCATCAGAGAATTAATATTCAGATATGGAGTTCCACATAGCATCATCACTGATAATGGGTCAAACTTTGACTCCGATCAATTAAAAGCTTTCTGCGCTTCCCAAGGCACACGAGTCGACTATGCTTCAGTTGCCCACCCCCAGTCGAATGGACAAGCAGAAAGAGCAAACGGCCTAATTCTCAAAGGACTGAAACCCCGGTTG